TGGCATAGGCATTATTATCCTTACTTATGGGTAAAATGAGAATCTGTCTTAAAGTGATTTGCATGTGTTACATGGCAAATGCATCAAAGAACTGTTACCTAAATCCAATGTCTTCTGATTTCTCACCTTAAATTTATTCCATGATACATCAGGCTATTCTGTGTATGTACTTTAACTCCAGAAAAATATGAATAGTTACTGATGACTTGAATATAAACATTCTGTCATATAAAAAAATCAGCACATACTTTATATTTTCCAGTTTATAATTTTCTGACTTATGTTAACTATTTTTTATTCTTATGCTCATTGATACTGTTAGTTTCTCAAGTTTCTGATTTTGTTGGGCTTCCATTAACTGTGGTTTGTGCAATAGCAAGTGCTTCTCCTATAGCTATGTGCTCTCATGTTGACAAAACTAATCTAAAGGTAGTTGAAAACAACACCATCTTTTATATGCAGCTCATGGTGGGGCATTTCTTATAGGCTAGAAGAGTATTGTGGATATATCCTCAATGGATTACCTTCATCATTTTTCGTCCAATAGCTGCTTAGTTTTGCAAAAACTTTCTGCATTTGATCCTTCACAGAATTATTCCAAACACACTGACACGTGACATGTCCATTTCATCCTCCAATGTAATGATTTTAATATGTTCTTCCAGTAATGTTTCTCTAACAGTTAATGACCTCTCTGGAGAATAACTTAACTTTGCTGCACATAAATCTACCCAAAAAATAATCTTTGTAGTTTGGTGATTCATTCAATTATTTGGAAATGTTTGTGCTAGTTCCTTACCAATACACAGCGTTTTTCATATGTTAAAGCTGAAAGATCACTATTTGGTTACTACTGTGTCTGAATCATTGTCAGAGACTTAGATAATACTGTGCTTCATTTTTATAGGAATAACTTCTGCAAGATTTTGGCTTTTATTTAATACCAAGTTAAATAATAGATAATAAAAGTATAATAAATATCATATTATATACATTCACCCAGCTCAACATCAAAGAAAATTTATTGATGAACAGATAATACAAACTTCCTTAATATTGATTTTTTAAAAATCCTTACCCAAAGATATGCTTATTGGCTTGGGGGGGGAGGGGAGGGAGAGAGAGAGACAGAGAGAGAGAGAGAGAAGAAAGAACATCAATTGGTTGCCCTCCATATGTGCTACCAGGGGCTCCAACCTGCAACCCAGGTATGTGCCTTGACTGGGAATCGAACCTGTAACCTTTCGGTATACAGGACAACACTCTAACCAACTGAGCCACCTGGCCAGGGCCAAAATACCACTGTATTGTTCTTAATTATTGAAACTGTACTCTGAATTGGCCTTAATGTTCCTCAATAATTAATTATAAATGCCTTTCACCAAAAAGAGAAATTCTTGAGACTATTTTAAAAGTTTTAAATACATATATGTAATTGTAAATAAAAATACTTCCTTTTATTTGCCTTTGAACCAGTACCTTCAAGGTTCTACAGTGGGTTACTTTCTGAGAATTGACACATCATTTTTTCATGGTTTTACAATCCTACATCAGATCTCTGATCAGTCTTGTTACTGTAGACCAGTGTACTATTTCTTCTAAAAGCCATTTTACTTCATGTGATTTTTATTAAATTTATGGTGACATTGGTTAATGAGATCATATAGGTTTTAAGTGTACATTTCTATGATACATGATTTATATATTGCATTCTATACCCACCACCCAAAATCAAATAATCTTACATCACCACATATTTGGCACCCTTTACCCTTTATTAACCACCCCCCAATACTTTCTCATCTTGTAACCACTCATTGTCTATGTGTATGAGTTTTATATCCCACATATGCGTGAAATCATATGCTTGTTAGCTTTTTTATGACTGGCTTATTTCGCTTAGTATAATATTTTCAAGAGCCATCCATGTTGTTGCAAATGGCAATATGTCATCTTTTCTTATGGCTGAGTAGTATTCCATAGTATATATGTACCACATCTCTTTATTCAGTCCTCTATATAAAGACACTTTGTCTCTATGTCCTGGCCACCATGAATAATGATGCAATGAATATCGGGGTGCATGTATCTTTTCAAATAAATGTTTTTGAAGTTTTTTTTTAGATAGCTTCCCAGAAGAGGGACTGCTGGGGCACACGGTAACTTTATTCTTAATATTTTTGAGGAACCGCCGTACTGTTTTCTATCCTGGCTGTTCCAGTTTACATTCCCACCACCAGTGAAGGAGGGTTCCTTTTTCTCCACAACCTCTCCAACACTTATTTTTACCTATCTTGTTGATAGTAGCCATTCTAACAGATGTAAGGTGGTATTTCACTGTAGTTTTGATTTGCATTTCCCTAAATAGTGAAGCTGAACATCTTTTTATATTTCAATCGGCCATTTGTATGTCTTCTTGGGAGAATGTCTATTCAGGCCCTTTGCCCATTTTTTAATGGATTGTTTGTTTGTTTGGTGTTGAGTTGTATGAATTCTTTATATATTTTGGATAATGAACCCTTGTCAGAGCTGTTATTTGCAAATATCATCTCCCATTCGCTTGGCTGCCTCTTTGTTTTGTTGTCAGTTTCTTTGGCTGTACCAAAGCTTTTTAGTTCGATATAGTGCCATTAATTAATTTTTGCCTTTACTTCCCTTCCCTTTGGGGTCAAATTCATAAAATATTCTCTACGACCATGGCCCATAAGTTTAGTACGTATATTTTCTTCTATGTAATTTACTGTTTCGGATCTTATATTTAAGTCTTTGATCCATTTTTAATTAATTTTTGTACATGGGGACAAACTGTAATCTAGTTTCATTCTTTTGCATGTGGCTTTCCAATTTTCTCAGCACAATTTATTGAAGAGGCTTTCTTTTCTTCATTGTGTGTTTTGGGCTTCTTTGTAACAAATTATTTTCCCATAAACATGAGGTTTTATTTCTGGGCTCTCAATTCCATTCCATTGGTCTGTGTGCTTGTTTTTCTGCCAATACTATGTTGTTTTCTGGTATCAGATCTCTATGGTATAATTTGAAGTCAGGGAATGTGGTACCTCTGGCTTTGTTCTTTTTTCTCTGGATTGCTTTGGCTCTTTGGGGTCTTTTGTGGTTCCATACAAATATGACAATGTTTTTTTTATCTTCCCATTTCATTGTGTCATTTTCAATCTTTTTAAATAATGCTTTGTAGTTTTCGTATATAGGTTCTTCACATCCTTTGTTAAGTTTATTCTTCTGTATTTTATTTATTTTGTTGCAATGGCAAAAGGATTTTTTTTTCATTTCTTTTTCTGAATTTTCATTGTTAGTATATAGGAAAGTAGTGGATTTTTTGTACATTGACTTTGTATCCTGCAACTTTGTTGTATTTGTTTATTGTTTCTAATAGTTTTTCTGTTGAGCCTTGAGGATTTTCTATGTATAGAATCATGTCATCTGCAAAAAAGTGACCCTTTTACTTCTTCCTTAACTATTTAAATACTTTTTATTTCTTCCTCATGCCTGATTGCTCTGGCTAGGACTTCCAGAACTATGTTTACTAAGGGTGGTAAGAGTGGGCATCCTTGTCTTGTTCTGATTTTAGAGGAAAAGCTTTCACTTTTTTACCACTGAGTATGATTTTATTTTTTCCTTCTTTTTTTTAATTTTTTTTATTGATTTCAAAGAGAGGAAGGGAGGGGGAGAGAAAGGTAAAAGCATTACTGATAGAAGAGAATCATCAATTGGCTACCTCCTGCATGTCCCCACTGGGGACCCAGCCTGCAACCCAGGAAATACGCTCTGACTGGAAATCAAATGTGACCTCCTGGTTCATGAGACAGCACTCAACAACTGAGCAACACTGGCCGGGCACCACTGAGTATGATTTTAGCTGAGTGTCTCTCATAGATGGCCTTAACTATATAATGATACTCTCCTTCTATATCCATATTATTGAGTGTTTTAATATAAATGGATGCTGTAGCTTATCAAATATATTTTCTGCATCTATTGATAAGATTATATGATTTTAAGTCTTTCCTTTGTTAATGTGGTGTATTACATTGATTGACTTGTGTATGTTGAATTATCCTTGTGCCCCTGGAATGAACCTCACTTAATCGTGATATATTATTTTTCGGATATACTGTTGTATTCAATTTGCTAGTATTTTGTTTAGGAGTTTTGCATCTGAATTCATCAGAGATATTGCTGGCTAGTTTTCTTTTTTTAGTATTATCCTTGCGAGGTTTTTGTATCAGGGTTATGTTGGCCTCATAAAATATTTTAGGAAGTATTTCCCCTTTAGCAACTTTTTTTTGGAAGAGTTTTAGGAGGATAAGTATCAGATCTTCTTTGAATATTCAGTAGAACTCACTAGTGAAGCTATCTGGTCCTGGACTTTTATTTTTGGGGAGGTTTTTGATGGTGGTTTCAATTTCCTCACTGTTGTTCAGTCTAGTTAGATTTTCCATTTCTTCATGATTTAGTCTAGGAAGGTTATATAATTCTAGGAACTTACTCTTTTTTCTAGGTTGTTGAATTTAGTGCCATATAGTCTTTCCTATTATTCTAGTATGACCCTTTGTATATCTGTAATTTCTTTGGTAACTTCTCCTTTTTCACTTCTAATTTTGTTTATGTGAGAATTTTCTCTTTTTTCCTTAGTGAGGCTAACCAGGGGTTTGTCAATTTTATTAATCTTTCAAAGAACCAACTCTTTTGCCATTATGTACTCTTTTTGTTCTCTATTTCATTCAATTTTGCTCTAATTTTTATTATTTCTTTTTTTCTGCTGTACTCTGTTTCTATTCCAAATTACCAAGAGAGAAAATGGACTATGATTTACCCAATTCAGAGACAATCTTTATCTCTATTTCAATCAGTGGTGGCCAAGTGGTTTGAATAAATATATTAATTGACATTGAGGCTAAGTTCCCCTCAGAACCCTCTCTAGAAGACTTAAAAAATGTATGTCCAAACATTTATTTATTTTGTCTATTTTGAATATCTTTCAGGTAAAATATACAGGCACTCTGATTACTACATCCCCAGGTATGTAGAAAATGAGTTATACATTGTGATTCCCAATGAATAAGGGAAAGTAACAAATGCAATATTGCTTATAGGTTTGGCTCAGAGAAATTGTATTTGGGCTAAAAATACAATTAAAAGTGAATTTTAATTACTTTTATTCCCATCTGAAAATTAAAAGCTATAGCATTATTATCTGCCCTAATTACTTAGACATCCTGAGCTAATGAGAGAGATGGGTGAAGAATGGAGTGGGACTCTAACCTGTTATCTACAGAATGATCATCAATTTCAAGAGGAAATATCCTAGGTTATAATTCAGATCAGATTGTAAGAATGTAGTCTATGTATAAAAATTGTGTGGCCCTTAAGAATTTATGGTGAAAATAAATCTGGCAATACCTAATAAAATTTAAGGTATGCTTACACACAAATATTGACTAGAATGTTTCATGATATGCTGTTTTTAAGGTCAAATGTCAATCACTAGAGAAATGTGATCAGTCAACTCTAAAATAACATGCAGTTATAACTTACTCTCTTTATTACTTACTTAGCTAGTTCCAGAAAATATTGTATAGTATGGTACTTTTAAAAAAAGGTTTATAGTGTGAGGCATAGTAAAGAAGTTTCATTTTCTTAGTATATTCTGACCAAAATGTGTCATTAGATTGGAGATTTCTCTTTGGGAATTAAAAAAAAAAAACACACAAAACTAAGTATAGAGAATTTCCTTGAGGACTCTTCAAGACCTTTCTGAAATGGTAGACTGAAAGGCTGAAAGGTCTTTCAAAAACACAGAGCTTTATCACTAGATAGAATAAGATTATAAACTTTTTGTTGGCCTCTTTTTCCTTCCCCAAGTGGAAATGTCTATTTTGGAGGCAAATGTACACATGCGCGCATGCGTGCGCGCACACATACACACACACACACTCACACACACATTGTTATGAGTACTATTAGCCTTGGATTCTATAACATGAGATAATTTTCATGTCATTAGCTCAAATCAAGAGTAATTTGCTGACTTGGTTACAGCAATGTATCAAAGACAATCCTACATAGCTATGTATAAATAAATCTGATGATTGATTTGATACTTGTCATTTGAAGGGTAATTAAGATGCAATAGGATAGAAAATCTTGTGATTTGATCATTTTGCTAAAGATTGGATCAGTAGTTTGGGAGAATGATAAGAGTCAGAAGGGAAAATTGGTAAAATACCCATCTCAAAACAAGCAGGCTCTTCGTTGTAGGGCAAATGTAGAAAAGAGGCTCATGCGCTTATAACATTCATTTATTTAAGAGCATTCATTCAATAAGTAAGAACTTGGCTAGACAATAGAATACAAAGATAAAAAGATGCAAAATCCTTCAAGGAATTAAAAATCAATCTATTGTAGTATATCTTCATTTAGGCAAAATTTGATTATACAAGCACATTTTATCTATAAAAAGTGGTTGGCATGTTAATTCACACATTTGTGTATATACTTCTCAACTTGCCTATTTATGATTACATACTTTGGAAGCCAAAATTACCCATGACTTTAAACAACATTTATACAGTCATGGAACCCAAACATATATCTGCCTATTCAAAGAAATATCTATTAAGCAAATCAAAGTAACACTTACACAAATCAACTTCTAATAGACCCCTGAGCTTGCTCTTTCCTCAATCTGACAACTTTCCAGCCCCTCAAAATGGCTTTATTTAGTTTTGTAGAAATATCTTTCATTTTTACTTGGATATTGGAACCCTATATTTTTATCATAGATTTTGGAACCGAAAAGAACAATAGGGATTAAATAGTTTAATATCCTTGATTTATAAATAAGGAAATTGTAACTCAGAGAATTTATGCCCAAGGCCACCCAGGCATAAGTAATGATATTTTTTAAAATTGAACTTAATTATTTAATTTACTTAGATAATTTAGGAATTTTTCTACAAAGGCATTAACAATGAAATAATAGTAAAATATAAAAAACAACTTTAAAATGTAAACTCGCGAAAATAGAAAATTTAGACCCTAGTAAAAAACAATACTATTTTAAATTTTGGAGTGTCATTTAATGTGCTTATTTGTTAGAGGACTATTTCAGACATGTTCTGAGCAATTGAGAATCTGATCTGACCCAAAACTCAGAGATGCACTGGCCTCTAGGATATAAGCTTATTAATTTATTTTTAGTAGTAATTCATCTTCCACATAAAACACTGCCACACATTTGTGCTTAAAGTTCAGTAGATATTTGCAAAAGACTGATGCTATTTGAAACTGATAAGTAAAATGCATATATCCAGACACATATATATGAATTTGCTAGGCAACTGCTTCTGAATAATTTTTTATTTAAGATGATTAATAATCTGAGACCTGCCTATAGACTCAGGGCACTGCATTATAAATCACATCTTATTTTCTTTCATAGTGAATGAAATGATGTTCATTTTTTTGGATATGATTTATCATTTGCAGATTGTATCTGCTATTTGTGTGAGCTTTGAAAATAAATGGATTGTCTTATTAAATATTCTTCACCTTTTGCTATTATATTCTCTGAATAGCCAGAGAAAAACCATGAGCAGTGTCTCCTCCATATCCCAATATTAAGCTGCATTGAATTACTGATGGAAAGAAAGGTTACAAATGAGTTTCTTTTATAAGATAAAAGCCAGCATCTGGACTTTCAAACCATTTTATCCAGGTATCATTTGATCTGTAATTTTTTTAAGGACATCTACTTGCGATTTACATATATTCTGTCTTCTTTCAGAAGCATGGTGAGTAATATAGGTGTTAAGCCTTGAGATAAGAGTTCTTTTTTTTTTTTTTTTGATGCAATTCCCTCCAGCTCTCCGTGATATGTCATCTCAAAGTTAAAGCAGTTGCTACTATTTTATGAAATGTCACTCTCATTGCCTGGTAGGTCTTTGTTCCCAGACTGCTATTATGAAAGCTGGTCACCAGGGCCATCTTTACTGTCTGGTGACAATGGTGGATGTCTGCTGTATTCCTAATAGGATTACTCAGATGAGGCTGTAAGGAAACTTAATCAAACATCAAGAGCAAATAGGGCTTTAGGACCAGACTTGCATTACAACGCCAGCACTGCCAGCTACTGTCTGTGTATCTTTGGACAATTTACCTCTATGAGCTACAAATTCCTTATATGCACAGTAGGCATCAAAATAAAATGCATCTGAGGGTTCAGTGAGCACTGGCATAAAGAAAAGCTTTCATAATTGGTAGTTATTGCTGACATTACACATAAAGTTAGGGAAAATACATTAGTATTTCTGAATCTCAGGCTTCTCATCTGTAAAGTGGGGAATGATAAGAGTATTTTGGCAGAATTTCCCTGGGTCTTTAATACAATGTATGTGACACATAGAACAGCATCTGGATGTAATAGGCAATCAATCATTTTATTGCATTTGCCAATATTTCTTTGGCCTTTTATTTTTTACACATGCCTGTCAATGAATACTTACTTAGTAATCATAGTTTTAGAGGATTTTTCAGAGTGAAAGTCTGGGCAAGTAAACAGGTAGTACAATGGATAGTTAAAAACACAGATAAATAGGTTCTAATCTCAGCTCTGCCACTTACTCTTCTTATGACCTGAAGCAAACATTTACCTCTCTGTGCCTTAGGTTCTTTACCTTTAATATAGGGATGCTATAATGCCTATTTTGTGTGATTGTATAAGGATTAAATGAATATCTAAAATATACTTCAAGTAGCATCTGACAAACAGTAAGTGCTAAATAAATACTTGCTATCATTATTCCCTGAAAGAAGGTCCAAAAATGACTTTTCAAATTTATGCACACATGGAGGCAGACATGCTTGCACACTTGCATTCACTCACTCACACATAAATGCATCTACATTGGTTGGCCAAGGCTGAACAAGAACAATAGTTTACCTAATATTGAATTAGTTAAGAACTTTGTGTAAAGTGGATTCTAATGAAATAAATACTTTTTCCTTATAGGGAGGATGACTATTATATTGAAGACACACCAATTTATGGTAACTTAGATAATGTGGTCCCAGGTAAGTTTTATTTTTCCAGAAACTAATACACCCTCCTCACTTAATTCCACAAATAATCTGAGGTGACTTATTTTTGTCACAGTCACATTTAAATATCCCAATAATAACATAAATTCAAGCATGTTTAGCATGTTATTTAGTATGCATTTCCAAAGACACACATTAAAATTGCATTGCAGCATTAGGTGTAAATTAGCATCCTGTTTTCTATATTCTCTCCATTTCACTCTAGCAGTAATGAGAATACAGGAAGACTCTATTACCATGAATGTTGACACACATAGAATTCTGTGAAATACTATTTCTAGAACAGAAAGTGGCCCAACCAGGTAAACAGTGTTTTATGCACCATATGCAAAAGCAAATCTACAGTGAAATATCTGGAATAATAAATACATTTTCTGGTTTCCCTTGTGGAAACTTGTTCTTTGTAAGTAGAGACCCTGGGGCTGTTTTGATGGCAAGTCGGGAAAGAGAAGAGCTAAATCTTTATGGAGTGGGTTATATATTTTTGTTCTGATGCAACAGGTCCTCATCAATTCCCTATACCCGTTATTACTTGAAACATCCCAACCACCCAAAACAAAACACCTCAAATTCCCCAAAACAGACCACTGTGATCTGATCCCAGAGCCTGATGGGAGGAGCCAGGAGGGTGATGCTAACACTTAAGCCCATCCTTGCCCTGCAGGCACTTCACTTAATGCAGGACAGGAGAATTGGGCTTCACTCCTGCAACACAGAGTCTCAACACAGAGATGTCCAGGAATGGACTAAATGGATCTGGATCTCTGTATATCAAAATAGTGTGGAATTCTAAAGTTCGGAATGTGAGAGTTGTATAGGAGTCAAGCATGTATATCATTGTTGTCTTTCTTTCATAGCAAAGTTCCCTCTAATCTCCTCACTCTGAGGAAGCAGGAACTATTTTTCGGTAATGAACTAGTAAAGTGAGTTTTCCCTCCTGTTTCACCTTGTGGAATCATGGTGCTTCCCTATAAGATTTGAGCACTTCATTGTTTATGTATTCTAGTTGTTTAAAGCCACCACATCTACGATTTCCATGTCTAAGTGAGCACAAGGGTCACTCACACAGGTTCTGATGTAGGAGGTCCAGGAATCTGCTATTTAACAAGCCTCCCATGTGATCCTAATGCATGTTTTCCATGAACTATGCTTTGAGAAATATCACTCGATTGACCCTTTTTTGTGTGTTGCTTTCAGAAAGTGGTAATTGGGAGGTGCCTTGTACTATAGTAAATATATCTATTTTTTTCTATGGGGTCAAATTGGAGCAGTTCACATTTCTGCCAAGTCACTGGCTATCCTACCTGTCACTAATTCTCTTTCCTGACCCTTTTAAATAGGTGTATTTGGGGTAAGAAAGTCATGAATGATTCACTAAGCCTGTCCCCACAGGGTGAAATGAGTGCAGGTCTGCTGGCTGGTGGACAGAAACTCCAAGTACTTAGAGTCAGCATCAGACAGCCCACCTTCAGAACAGCCTGGTTGAACTGTTCCTGTCACTCATTTATGGGATAAAAACCATACTCTAAATCCTTTAAAAAAGAACAACACAAAAAGATGTAAGGTTCAGAATGCTGCTGAGTAAAACATTTTACTCACAGAAATAATTACCAGATTGTAAACATCAATGTAGATGCACTGTGCATTATGCCACCGTACATCATTTGCAGTTACTCTTAAATAGAAGAGAACACGAGCAAAAATTTAACTCATGGGATTTCTACAACAAAATCTAAATGGTAGTTTGAAACTGTCATGGCCTACAATGGTATTAAAAAAAAATGGCTAAATGGCTATAATCTAGTCCTTATCCCAAGTGACTTCCCTTTGTCTTATTGTTAATGCTATGGGGCAAAAGACTTCTTACCTAACCTGCAGAGAGCAGATTGTGCTTGCTTACCTCTGCGTTTTCATGATAAAGACAAATTAAATGATTCTTAGAGGTTTCATATTTACAGCTAAGTGTTGCTTGGGTCATGTCTCTTTACTTGTGCCAACATATTTTGTTTTTCCATTGTCAATCATAATCTTTTCAACTCCCAAGAACAAATGGATGAAAATTGTTATGAACAAATGAAAGCCCGACCAGAGAGATCTGTGAATGAACTGCAAGAAGCCGCCCGACCTGCACCGGTGAGTTTTGTTTTCTGTATCAAGGGTCAAGTTTAGTCGAGATCACAGCACAGCTTCAGGTTTCAAGAGCAGAGAAAGAGTGCACTCTGACACACAGTTAAAGTAGCTGTTAGAACATTTAGAGTAAATATGTCAAGTTTTGGGGCCTGAACTCTAAAGGGAAACTCGAAGACAAGTAAACGCTACTCAGACTCAAATTCAAAGAGTCAAAACTGTGTACAATTACAAAGGCAATAGATTTGAATGGAAAAGTGGATTCTCTTCCTAAATAGTCAATTAAAAGAATTATGTGTGTCACAGAGATAAATATAAAAGTTGACACATGTATAAGGCACATAAGACCTAGATGTTAGAAATTTATGGGAAGAGGAGGGAAGGAGGAAAAGAGAGAGGAAGGGAGGGAAGGAGGGAGAGGTCTTTAGTTAAAAGGTAAATTAGCTGGATATAAAAGATCATACTTCTATTTTACAAGGCAAATGAATGTAAATTTAAATACAAATCCTATGGCTTTGGTCTTATGGCAAGAGATGTATTTGCACAGAGCTTAATTAGAAATAGGCAGGGAAATAGCTTAAGCAAAAACCTATAAAAACCTAAGGAGAATTGGAGAGTTTCTCCTTTTCCTACCACAGTCATTCAACTTCTTCAGACAGAGCACTGACTTCATCAAAAGCCATTCACAGTTCTTAGCCTATGTGCCGCTGAGGTATAAATTTCACTTAAAATAACTCTTATTCCTTCTTCTCCCAGATTTTGTTTTTTCAATGATGTTCACTCTTGCTACTATCTAAAAACAGCTGTAGGACAATATTTCCTATGCAGTTGTGATGTGTCAGGTTTTGTGTTATGTGCTTTATAGGCATTATTCTCTTAGATTCTTTGAGGAAGGCAGTATTATTATTCCAATTTGACAGTCTTGAAAAGGATAAAACACTTGCCCTAGAGCATTCAGGTAGTAGGTGGGAAAACAGAATTCAAATTTTGTCCCATCTAACAGAAAATATTCTCCCCGTAAGATGGATCACATCTTGGAAACTTCCCAATAAGGTAGAATTTTTCTATTTTTCTTTATATGAATTCCTTCCACAGCCAAAATTCTTGAAATTTTTAATAAGAAAACAAGATGTGGTGAGGTCTAAGGAAAGGTAAAATCGCCCTCTGATGAGCAAATCTGTCATCAGATGTTCAATTAATTGTGAAATGTATTTTTACAAAGAAGGAATAAAAAACTGCATGTAATAATATGACCTGCTAAATCCATGATAACAAAAAGAAAACCTCTAAAAGAAGGTTACCATATAACCACACCATCCGAAATGTAGAAATTCACAGCACCTTAGCTACTAGTAAAAAATCTGAAAATCTGGAATAGAAGTAGCTATTTAATGCATATGACTTGAATAGGCAAGCTTTATTTGAGCTACATCTGCTTTTACCTAAAGTAGAAATTGTGAAAAGTCTTTAAATGTCCTTAAAAGTTTGCTGTTTTATAAATTATGCTGGAGGCCTGGTGCACAAATTTGTGCATGGGTGGGGCCCAGACTGGCCCTGATCAGGCTTGGCCAGCTAGGGGAAGCTGATGCTGGAGGTTGGCTGGCTGGCCCCACCCCTGATCTGGGGTGGGGGAGCAACCAGGGGTGAGGCCGGCCAGGGAGGGGCCATGGGCAATTGGGGGACTGGCCCTGCCCCCATTCAGGGTAGGGGGGTGGTCAGGGTGGGGCTGGTTGGAGGGAGGGGCCACTGGTGGCTGGCCAGCCAGCCTCACCCCTTGGTCGAACTCACTGTCAAACTCCTGGTCGAGGGGGTAATTTGCATATTAGCCTTTTATTATATAGGATAATTAAAGATACTCTAAGTAGATTTGTCTTTATTACATCCTTCTCACAAATTTAGTTTCACTAACTAGAAGTAATTTCTTTACATTTGCTCAATTCCATTTTATTAGAATGATTATCAATGAACACACTGCCCAGTTTGCTACTACAATACTTACTATAGTCAATTACAAAAGCATAAGGAATCTATGGTATTACGCATGAAGCTTAATGGATGAAGTATCTGTTGGAAAAATGGAAATAAATTCTTTCCCCTTTGAAAATCATATGTACAGTTCAGAACTTGTAATTTCAGCATCTCAATATTCTATTAACTAAGAAGAGTTTATCGGGAAACCTAATAATATAATCAGTCCACAAGAATTCTCATATCCTAAAAAGTTTGAGGGACACAGTGTGTGCTTGCTCCTCTCTCTTTTCTTCATTTCAAACTCTCACATGAATCTCTCCTTCCCTCCTGTGTCAGAAGCACCCTCTCTCCTTTCCAAAGCCAACACTACTGCTTACGCTCTTGACCATTTCTCCTACTTATTTCCAGATCTTTACCTTAAATCATTTGTCTCCATTCTCCACTTTTTAAAAACTAATTCTTACTATCATTACTATTTACCAATATGCACAAATCACTCCAATATTTAAAAACAAAACAACAAAACTTGACTTCAGCTTGTTTAACTCCTAAACTGATTCTTACTTTTCTCTAGTGTTTCCATTTCTTTCCGTAGATACACATTCTTTTACCTCTGGCCGTATATTTTCTACCCATGCACTCAACTGAAATAACACGCTGGAAGTCACAGTGACTGAGCCATGTACACTTTGTGGTTCTTTCTCAGGATCACTGTTTTTGAAATCTGCAACACTTGATAAGGTTGACCAATTGTTGACCAGACTTATATTGTTGGGAATGCTGTAAGTTATAAGTGTAGAAACCCAATTCAAAGCACTTTAGCATTAGAGGAAAACCACTGGTTCACATGGGAGGGAGCTGAAAGGGGGTATTTGTTTTTGACATGACAGACTATGAGGGCTCACTTCGCATGTCCTCCCTCCTGTTTCCCTCTGTTACTGACTTCATGCTCTTCCATTACCACACACTCTTCCCTTGAGGCTGGACAAGCCTCTGGAAGACCCAGGTTTTCTTCCTCCCAACTCCAGGAAACAGCACGTTTTCTATTCCTGCATCTGTACATCAATCCCAAACGTGCCGCACAATTGGCTCTGCTGAAACCACATGCCTTCTATTCTTGGACCAACTTCTGTTGCCAGGGGGATGGATGGTGTGATTGGTTCCAGCCTAGGTCACAGGCTTAGTCCTGAGCTGGGTCTGGAGTACAGCACTGTAATCCAGACCAGGGAAGGGAGAGGAATTCCCTGAAGGAAAATGAAGAATTATTCCAGTTTGCCTGAAATAGAGAGTTTATGCAGGGGAGTAGTAGGAATCAATATTTAAAAGGTGGAGTAGTATCAAGCATGGAAAACCTTGAATGTCAGGATATGAAATTCAGACTGTAGTCTATAGGCTAACATTTTGGAGACATGATAGTAAAATATGCAAGTTGTGTCTTAGGAAGGAAATTTGAATATAGCATATAAACTAACTGGCAGCTAAAGCCCAGAAAACAAGCTTCTTGCTTTTCAGAGAACTTAGAAATCCCCAGAAGTCATCAAAGTGACAGAATGGGCTAACAATAAAAAAATTAACATGCCTCTCTTTTTAGGCAATCGATGAATCACAGATGTTTTACGCCTCACTGAATCACAATTGTGAGGGGAAGCCCAGAAAGCCCAGGAAACAAAATACTTATGTGTCAGACAAGAATGAAGATGAGCTGTTACCTGGAATGAACACCAGCCTTCCTGAGACTACCCTGGTGTACAGTCTCCCACCCGCGAGCCCGACAATAGAGGAAAACATTCACGATGATCCCGTTAGACTGTTTGGATTGATTCGTGCTAATAAAGAACCTGTGAATTAGCTGGATTATGATTCAGCTCTTACTGAAGAAGATTGGGAGGGAAAACCCACAAAAAACCCCACACAAGATCCCTCTATGACACAGCATAATGTGGCAGGGTGACGGTATGATCATCTGTTGGTGGGATGGTGGTTTACCTTCTTATCCAGAACTTACGTTCTTGCACACTGAATAGAATGTCATGAAAATCAGTTTTTCGAATCAGTTATTTGAATTCACTTGACAAATGTCTAATAGTCAAATGTAAAATAAAATAAAGTTTACAAACTGAGCTTGATGGCGATGTCACAACTTCACCAACAATGATTAATACTCAGTGAAATAAAACCAAAACAAATTTTAAGCATTAAGCGTGTTCTGGAACACATTAGAAAAAGAATAAAAGATCATTTTTAAAAGCATTTCTCTTTTCTAACCAAGGTGAAATATCCCATAATTTGAAGAAATTTCTTTTTAAAAATTTATTTTTATTTTATTGAAAGTATTGGGTCTATACAGATTAATAAAATTATATAGGTTTCAGGTGTACAATTCTATACTATATCATCTATATATTGCAGCGTGTGTGCAGCACCACAAGTCAAGTCTTCTTCCATCCTCATTTATCCCCCCATGTGCCCTCTTCTTCTTCTCCCATTTCCTTCTGGTAATCATAATACTATTGTCTGGGTGGTGAAGATTTTTGTTTGTTTGTTTGTTTGTTTGCTTAATCCCTTATCTTTTTCTCCCAGCCCCTTAACTCCCACCCCATCTGACAGCTGTCAGTCTGTTTTCTGTAACTCTGAGTCTGCTTTTATTTTGTTTGTTCATTATGTTCATTAAATTCTACATATAAGTGAAATCATTTGGTATCTGACTTTCTCTGGCTTATTTCACTTAGCATAATACTCTCCAGCTTCATACATGCTGTCACAAAAGGTAAAATTTCCTTTTTTTTTTCAGCCCAGTTGTATTCCATGTGTAAATGTACCACAGTTTTTTATCCACTCACCTACTGATGGGCACTTGGGCTGCTTCCAAATTATGGCTATTGCAAATAATGCTGCAATTAATATGAGTCCATATATTCTGTCAAATCAGTGTTTCGGGTTTCTTGGAATATATTCCCAGAAGTAAAACTGCTGGGTCATAAGGTGAAAGAAATTTCTGATTGAAAAGCATGGGAGGCATTTAAATACATTCCCAAGAGAGGTGGGGTACTCTTCATAAATAGTGTTTTTTTCCAAATAGAAATATATTTGTTAGTTTTAAAAATTATTATAAAATTAATGCATGCTTCTGTAAAAATAAAAAAGTGTCAAAAAGAATTCAGAAATAGCCCTAGCCAGAAATAATCACTATGAGCAACTTCCTAAATATCCTTCTAAATATTTTTCTTGGGCATGCTCACGTACATATATCAATTGTGGTGTTTTGTTTTTTTAAATAAAAAAGAGGAGTGATCACTGTATGTAATTTATTAAACTTTTTTAATTTAACAATACATTCTGGATTTATTTTCACTGTGATTTTTAACTACAGTTTTGGGTATGCGAAGCACAGAACTTATTCTTGTATTATTATACATTGTTGTGTTTTTATACGAACAACTATAAACTTACTTTTGCCCCACTTGTCTTATAATTTTAATTCTTGTATAGCATCTCATTGATGACTACATCCGAATTTATTTAAATAATTTTGAGATACATTTAGCTAATTTCCAACTTCTGTTTTTTGCTTTTACAAATAACAATGTGATGAGAATGCATCTCCACATGTGTTTAGGTACTTATCTGACTTCTTGTGTAGTAGGGAAGGAGTTGCTGCTTTAAAAGGTGTGCATATTGTGGGTCTCTATAGAATATATTACTGAAAGGTCCATAGTTTGGTCAAAGTATGTGTTCAATTTCAATTATGGTAAATGCTTCTAACTATAAAAAATTATTTAAGTTTTTTTCTGTTATCATGTTACTGATCAAGAAGACTCTACAGGCAGCTATCAGTCCTGCCCTCTGGCCAGAGCTTAGTGCATGTTATTCATTCTGTCTTCCATTATTTATTGGGCTCCCACTGTAGTTTAGGAATAAAGGTAGATCCTGGTATATAGTGATGAGGGAACAGGCAGAGACCCTGTTCCCAAGGAACTTACAGGCCAGTAGAAAAGATGATTATCAAGTTAACAACAACAAAAATGTGTAGTTACTAGTACTGAAAAACACTATTAAGAAAACAGAAAAATGAGGAATAATAATGGAAAAATGGCAGCCCTGAAGAAGAAATTTTAATTCAGAGAACTGAGGAAGGAGAAGGAGTCATCCATGTAAAAAGAGAGGACACACAAGTATGTTGTTGTGTAAGAATTCTGTCCATATTTGGAAGTACCTACTTTTGTCAATAACTACTTTCCATATGAATCTGTATAAAATTAAATAATTTAAAGTAAAATATTTGAAACTGTCCACAGTGTCATAGGAAATGCAAAACATAGTAATATCTAAGGGTGTGGAAGAAAATGAATCAGGTTTCTCTTCCAGAGAAGGACCAAAACACCACAAGCAATATAATCATTAATTAACTAGAGGCCTGGTGCATGAAATTTGTGCAAGGGGGGGGGATCCCCTCAGCCCAACCTGAACCCTCTCCATTCCGGGACCCCTGGGGGATGTCCGACTGCTGATCCTGGGGATCGGGCCTAAACCGGCAGTCGGACATCTCTCTCACAATCTGGGACCGCTGGCTCCTGACTGCTCACCTGCCTGCCTGCCTGATCACCCCTAACTGACCCCCCTGATGGCCTGGTCGCCCCTCACTGTCCCCACTGCCAGCCTGGTCGCCCCACGCAGCCAGCTGCTCAGTTGTTTGGTTTTCCCTCACTAACCCTCCTGCTGGCTTGGTCACCCCACTCAGCCTGTTTGGTTGTCCGTTCGGATGTGACAGCTCCTGGCTCTTTATATATATATAGATAATTACATGTTGACTTTAACTTTTACTTTCAAATTAAAATAAAAGCTTTGTTATCATATGTTTATACATATGAACATGATAGCAAAGCTTTTATTTTTCCCAGTTTATCTAGTTTTATTAATTACTAGAGTCCCAGTGCACAAAAGTTTGTGCATGCAGGGGTGTCCCTCAGCCTGGCCTATGCCCTCCTGCAATCTGGGACCCCTCGGAGGATGTCCACCTGCTGGCTTAGGCCCACTCCATGGGTGATCAGGCCCAAGCTGTCAGTCAGACATCCCTCTGGCAGCCTGGCAGCCCTCAGGGGATGTCCACTTACCACCAGGGAGCAGACCTAAGCTTCAGTCGGATATCCTTAGTGTTGCTGAGGAGGTGGGAGAGGCTCCCGCCACCACCGCTGTGCTGGTAGCCACCAGCCTGGCTTGTGGCTGAGCAGGGCTCCCCCTGTGGAAGTGCACTGACCACCAGGGGACAGCTCCTGCATTGAGCATCTGCCCCCTGGTGGTCAGTGTGTGTCATAGTGACCAGTCATTTCCAGTTGTTCTGCTGCTAGGGTCAATTTGCATATTACTCTTTTATTATATAGGATAGAGGCCTGGTGCACAGGTGGGGGCCGGCTGGTTTCCCCTAAAGGGTGTTCCGGATCAGGGTGGGGGTCCCGCTGGGGTGCCTGGCCAGCCTGGATGAGGGTCTAATGGCTGTTTGCAGCTGCTCACACCCCTTCAGGGTGGAGGTCTGGCCACACCCCCTTTAGGGTGGGGGGTCCCCACTGGGGTGCCTGGCCAGTCTCGGTGAGGGGCTGAGGGCCGTTTTCAGGCTGGCCAAGCCCTCCGTCAATGGAAGCTCCCAGCCTCTCTTTTTTCTTTTTTTTCATTCTGGGATTTATTTACCTTCTATAATTGAAACTTTATAGCCTTGAGTGGAGCTCAGAGCCGGCAGGGCGGGGCGGGAAGCTTGGCTTCCTCCATTGCCAGGGGCAACCCAAGCCTCCTGCTCGCTCCAGCTCCGTGGCCAAGGCCAGTTGAAAGCAGGTATCTGGGGTTTATTTATCTTCTATAATTGAAACTTTGTTGCCTTGAGTGGAGCTCAGATCTGGCCCCGGCAGGCAGGAAGCTTGGCTTTCTCCAACACTGGGGCAACCAAGCCTCTTGCTTGCTCCAGCTCCGTGGCTGCCAGCCGCCATCTTGGTTGGGTTAATTTGCATATAGTCACTCTGATTGGCTGGTCAGCATGGCTTAAGGCATAGCAAAGGTACGGTCAATTTGCATGTTGTCTTTTATTAGTGTAGACAGTGATTTCTACACTAATAAAGAACCAGTTATTGCCCACATAATTTTTCTATTGTTTTTATATTTTGTTTAATTGATTTGTCCTCTAATCAATATACACACCCACACACACTATAGTTCCATGAAAATAAAGTTTGACAGTATTTTTTTTTTTTAAATATATTTTATTGATTTTTTACAGAGAGGAAGGGAGAGAGAGAGTTAGAAACATCGATGAGAGAGAATCATCGATCAGCTGCCTCCTGCACATCTCCCACTGGGGATATGCCCGCAACCCAGGTACATGCCCTTGACCGGAATCGAACCCGGGACCTCTCAGTCCGCAGGCCGACGCTCTATCCACTGAGCCAAACCGGTTTCGGCAAGTTTGACAGTATTTTTGACAGTTATTTTTTCCGATGACTATTTTACATCATTTGCTTACATTATTTACCTAGCCCCAAAGATATTTCAATTTTTGGGTTTTTTTTTTACCCTTTGAATTCCACTCAATAACATTTTGAAATTTATGCATCATATATATATGAACTGATAATTGCAAAGGCTTTTAACTACATATGCAAATTCTGTTATTTATATAAGGCTATTCAAGTTATCTATTTTCTGTAGAATGAGCTTTAGTAGTTTATATCTTTCAAAGAATGTGTCCCTCTCATCCATGTTGTAAAATTTATTGGCATAAAGTTGTTTGAAATATTTCCATGTTATCCTTTGAAAATCTGTACTGATTTCAACTCTCTTTGATACTAGCAATTTGCTTTTACTTTTCCTGATTTATCCAGTTTTATCAATTATAGTGATTTCCTCAAAGAACCAGTTATTGTTCACATGATTTTTCTATTGTTTTTATACTTTGTTTCATTAATTTTTCCTCTAATCAATGTTATATTTTTTTCTGCTTATTGTGTTTCATTTGTTCTTCATTTTTTAGCTTTAAAAAAATTTTTTTTAACTTCCTAAGGTGGAAGCTGAAGTCATTAGTATGAGACTTTTATTCTTGTCTAAAATAGTCATTTAGTTTCATAAATTTCCCTTTTTA